CATTAAGACATCAGCTCATAATATTCCTTAAATAACTTCCCCAGAGGTACAAAAATCTTGCCCAGCATCTATCAACATTCACTTCAAAGCCTTCATTTCTTGGGGAACTTGATATGGAACATACAATCGTGGAGTCCCAGAGTTATGACATGTGAGTTAATTTTGCATACAGAGACGCTCTTGTATTCTAAATTAATTTAATTTCTCTGTATGAATTAAGTAGGATGTGATATCATGTGTTTTGGAGGGAGCAGATTATAAGGTTTAAGATTATTGTAGCAAAGCAAAACTTGATTAACACACGTCTACATTATTTTTGCAGCATTTGACAAGCTGCAGACAACAATAACCAAAGAATCAGAACTCGAGAAGAAGAATTAACATGAAAACTCAATGCATGCATACTATTGTCAATTTCAGTATATGTGCTTAAGTGAACAGTTTTTTCACTGTAATGGAGAAAGTTCTGGAAGAGCTAATTCTATTGTGAGTTGTAGCCTCAGAAAGACTAGAGGAATCTTCTGCAGACAACGATAACCGAAGACAGCACATTATTCTTTTCCATCACACTTCAGAATTCAATTTCCAAGGAACTAAATTCTAACATGAAAAAAGAAACTTGTATTATTATTTTGTATAATTATTTGGCACATGTTTAGGTAATTTTGGATTCATGTGTATCATTGGAGTAGAAAAAGTCGTATTTTCACGTGTCATAATAATGTAAAATATCATCATCATCATCTTATATTTTTGTTTGGTGTTATCTATGTTGTTGGTAGATTATTTGGGTAAGCTATTTTATTTAAAGGAGTTGATATAAGATTATCATCAAATTTAATGTTTATTTGTTTTTGGAAATTGATTTTTTTTTTCAATTTAAACTACTCTATTGAATTTTATTTTTATGATTTTCACTTTTTGTAATTTTTATATGGCACCAGAAAATAAAATACTAATTATTTTAAATTATAACATCTCTCTTCATTCATATTGTACACTAAAGAGAGACTATCCAAGTTATGAAAACAATTTCTACTACTTGCACTTGCACTCCTTTTCTCTGGTATTCACTATACTATATTTCTTTTTCTTCTAGATATATGTATTTAAGGTCTTCTTAAATTTTAACATCCATTTTCTACAAGGTGAATTCATTAACGAGACATATTTTTTATTATGATCGAGATGGATTGTGAGAATTTTATAAAGAAAAACGATTGTTTGGTATACCTAAATTTTTTATATTCATTTGATATTGTCCTTATTTATTTTTTTTTCTTAAAAAAATACAAAAGCTTACATTTTTAAGATCATTTTATTCTTATATTTTTTGTGTTAAATGAATGTAAAAGTATGTTATGGTCTCATTATTCTTTCAAAAATTTGCTTAAAGGTTTGAAGAGAAGATTTTTAGTGCTGCAACAAACAGAATGCATATTTGATTTTAGATTTACAAATTTGTGATTATATTTACAAACCCAAACAATATGAAAGGTTGATGGTTTAATGTGATATTCGTTCAATCTGATTATATCTACTAAAAATATCTTCAAATATGTATGTGATGGATATGGGAATCCGGACACTAAGACCAATCGGCCTGATTATATAGATACATTATTTTATTCAAAGTAGTTGTTATTAGACTATTAATCAAATTTAATGTTTATTTATCTTTACAATTTTTTTTTTCATTTAAACTATTATCTTAATCTCAATTTTATCAATTTATTATTTGTTATTTGATTCAATTAAATTTTAATTTCATTTTTAAAACTGAACAATTTCTCCATTCTTTAAACCAAACTGTGATAGCAGAAAAGACAATGCAGAGAAACTGGTAGCAGAAATGAGATAAGCAGAGAAGATGTAACAAAGATTGTGAAAGAAATGTAATAGAAAAACTATATTAACAAAGAGTTTACAGAAGTTTATATATAAATACAACAATAACAGTAAACGGTTATTTAACTAACAAAAGACAAACATAAAGCTTGAATTACACAACTATTACACTCCTTAATTCAAGCCTTTTAGTGGTCACAACTCCAACCTCCTTCTGAGATACTCAAACCTGGCAGTATTAGACTTTTGTAAACATTGCCAGCTGAATATCAGTTTTGCAATGCACCAGTTCAATCTTGCCTTGTAACCATATCACGTAAAAGTGGTATTTAACTTCAATGGTGTTTACTTCTTCCATGACTAACCGGATTCTTGCCAAACTGATAGCTGAAGTGTTGTCCATCTTTAATTCTACAGATCTCATTTCTGAATTTGCAATTCCATCAGCAACTCATTAGCCACACCCCTTGACAAGCAGCAGCACAAACCGGCTATTATTCTGCTTCACACTGGATAGGGCGATGGACAGTTTGCTCTTAGAACTCCATGATATGGGTGCCGTGTTCACAAAAAATATATTCCAATGTACTTTTTCTTTCAACTGATCTCCACCAAAATCAGAATCAGTGTATCCAACTAAGCTCAATTCTCTGCTTCATACCATAAGTAAATAGTATGGCCATAATCTGAAGTCTTTTTGATATATCTGAGTATCGCTTGGTGCTGTCATGTGACTTTTCTTTGGCTTGCACATGAACCTACTAATCAAACCACACTCCCGAACATTAAATCTGGCCTGTGTTGCATTAAAAAACGAAGGAGATCCAACAGTTGTCTATAATCAGTTTCATTTATGCCTTCTTCACCGTCATCTATGTTTAGTCTCACATTTACTCGGGGGACTTCTGGCTTCATTACAGCAGTTCATGTTGAATTTCTCAACAAGTCCTTACATATTCTTTTGATGCATTATAATCCGGTGGATGTATGCATAAACTCCATCCCTAAGAAGTAGCTAAGCCTCCCGAGATCTGTCATCTCAAAAAACTTAGCTTTTCATCATCTGCTTGAACTCATCAATTTCTTCAAACTTGACCCAGTCACCAAACAGATCATCCACATAGAGACAAACTATCGTTTTCCCTCCGCTGTCACTATCTTTCACATACAAACTATGTTCAACAACACACTTATTAACCCACGTGGTACAACCGCACTGTACCCGGATTTAACCCACGATTCACCTTAGGCCCTTCCTCGACCAAGGCTCTGGATACCACTGATAGCAGAAAAGACGATGCAGAGAAACTGGTAGCAGAAATGAGATAAGCAGAGAAGATGTAACAAAGATTGTGAAAGAAATGAATAGAAAAACTATATTAACAAAGCAGTTACATATGTTGTAATTATATAATATATATATATATATATTATATGATATATATATATATAACTAAAACAATAAGAGTAAAAACGGTTTGTAACTAACAAACTGACAAACATTAAAGCTTGAATTACACAAATAATAAATGAACATTTATTTTTGTATTCACTCTGTTTTCTTGGAAAATGGTGCATCTAAGCATGTGCAATAGGAGAAATGGGACAAGAGAAACGTGCAAATAATATCATAGGACTACTTACATGTTAAAGGTATATCAGTATAAAAGAAACAATTGTCTAAAAAGGAAAAGAAACAAATGCAAATAATATCATCTTGTAATAGCTGATAGCAAGAGGAGATTGATTCCAATCTTCTATATATACCTCTCATGTCTTCTCAACTCATACCATTAATTCTCTTTTCATCGTGGTGAAATATGTATAATAACGAAAGCATTCCTTCAATACCTGCCACCTCAGGCATTTCTGCTGCCACCTCAGGCACTTCTGGTGCACTTCTTTCTAGAAGTTTCACCAATGCAAAACAATAAAACAAATAATACTATAAGAATTTCCTTCCCAAGTGTGTAATGCTGACTTTGGATGATAGGACCATAGAAGATGGAGCCTTACATCGTCTCATGCTCTTTGTCATTTCTCCTCTTGTGCCTTTGGCAGAAAGGTGGTGCTGAGTTCCATCGGGACCTTATTCTTATGTTCGTCGCCACTGCGGCTGCCATTGTCAACGAGAAGACAAACGGCTCTGAGACTCTCCTAGGTTGTGCTGCCACTACTGGTCTTGCTGTTATGATCCTCATCTTTGCCATAGGCCACATCTCCGGTGCTCACTTCAATCCTGCTGTCACCCTTTCCTTTGCTACATTGAAACACTTCCCTGGAAACATGTGTGTACAAATTATTATTTTAGTTAACTAATCTATGCTACCAAAAAAACAAGTTCTTTATATGATCATTAAACTGCAGGTGCCTATGTATATTGGTGCACAAATTTTGGCATCGATTTGTGCCGCATTTGCTCTGAAATGGGTTTATCACCCTTTCATGAGTGGTGGAGTCACAGTTCCTTCAGGAGGATACGTCTCATCTTTTGCTTTGGAATTCATTATTGCCTTTAATTTAATGTTCGTTGTCACTGCAGTAACCACCAACACCAGAGCTGTGAGTATATTTTTCTCCTCTCATTACATCCTTCGGATGTGATTTATTTTATGTTCCACGTTTGATGATGTTTTATTGATGACTGAGGATCTGATTTGTTTTAGAAGAAGAAATAGAAAGTATTTTCTGTGTCTCATAAACTTTTAAACATGCACATAAACTAACAAAACTGAATTGAATTTTAATCTACAGAAGATTATATATATTAATCTAAAGTTGGTTATAAGTTAAATTTATGCATGTAAAAAGAATTTTATGGAAATTGATTAGATAGATAATTTCAAATATCACACTGTGCATGAAAATTGAAGGCAAATGCGAGGGGTGCTGCGAGAAATCCAGAAAATATTATTATTATTGTAAGAGTGAAAGGAAGATAGATGTTAGCTATTGTGTGGCACATAAAAGTTGTTTATATGTGAAGCTGTATATAATAAATTTATGGTTAATTTGCACTGAGATTATTATGCTTAGTCTGCGTTTTAAGCATTTGACATCTTGCTGATTTGCGTCACAGAATTAGATTTTCCTACTTTGAACATAAAAACACCAAACATCACCACCCTTATTTAAAATCTAGCATAGAAACTTACAATTAGCGGGAATAAATCAAACTTAATACTAATTAACAGTTTCTGCAAAAAAAAACATACACCTATTTTAGCAAATAAAAGGGTGTGTATTTGTGTATATATATATATATATATATATATGGATTTCATTCATATGTGATATTTAAGTCTGAGTATGATATATTTGCAGGTGGGAGAACTTGCAGGAATCGCGGTGGGAGGCACCGTGATGCTCAATATAATGATAGCAGGGTATGCCACCGTTATGTCTCTGCAAACTACCGTACCTTAAAAAAAGCAACAAAATCTAATAAACAAAACAAATTTACTAAATTGATTGCTTGTATGTACGTGTTACTGTACAACATATATTTACAAAATTAAAATTAGTACATGAACTTGTCATTCATGATACTTTTTTTCTAAGTTTTACTAATTGGACACATTAAATTGATTTTTTATAATATTAAAAACTAAATAAAAATGAGAATTTTAAGCAACTTAATAACTTGTTTTTGAACATTCCATCAACAAACTTGTGAAAACAAATAGTTCCTTTTTATATAATAAATTGAACCAATTATAAAATTCTAACAATTTAACCATCACACATAATTTTTATTAGAGAAAGATCGGGAGAGAAAAGGTAAGAGAAATTTAATACAAATTTTTTTCATTTGTTTTTGAAAAAGAGAGGGTTTTGGTCTTTTTAGAACTGTTTAAGTGCAAGATCATATTTCTTTTTAGTAAGTCTTCATGTTAAATAGGGTACAAGATCTCATTCAAGTTTTGATGAATTTCTTTTTTATTTAATAGTATAATTGAATTTAAGATTTAATTAATTGAAATTTTGTAAGTCATACAACAAATTATCTTAATGAAGTAGAATTTAAAATGTAATATATTTTTTGTTATGATTTTTATTTTACATTTCAAAAGTGATGTTTAAAAACTAATAGTTACTGGTCCATTTCTGAAATACAACTCTATCGTTAATGAGTTCCAAGCATGTTAGTAGTTTTCTAAAAACTATGTTTTTTTAATATTTTTTAAAATTATAAAATAAATTGCAATACAAATTAGCTCACCTGTCTCTCATTTTGCTTTAATTTCGGTTATTTTTGAAGAAAGTTGAAGTAAGAATGATGCAAAATGAATTTTAGAAATATATTTATTATTGTATTATGGCAATTTCAGCCACTTAAATCTTATGTTGAACGAGTCTCTTCTTTTTCATGTTTTAGAAACGAAAGTAATTTTTTATAATTATTTTCTGAAGAAGACATTCGGCCCTATTCTTATATGTTAAAAACAAAGGTGTTTTCATTCCATTGCTTATTGTTAAACACTTTTTTAATAAAAAATTCTTAACGGTCTCAAAAGCTACTTTTTACCAAATCATAAAAACAAAGTAGAGTAGTTTAAAAACAGTGGAATTTGTTTAAATATGCTTAACTTTGAATTGCAGACCAGTATCAGGAGCCTCAATGAATCCAGTAAGAACATTAGGTCCTGCAATAGCCGCAAAGAACTACAAAGCAATATGGATTTATTTGGTAGCTTCCGTGTTTGGAGCTTTAGCCGGTGCATGTACCTACACTGTAGTGAAGCTGTCCAAAGAAGATGATGCCAAAGAAAAAACTTCAATCAGTTTCAGAGAGTGACTTAAGAAGGCTTAATGTATTTTGGCAATTCATGTTTAAGTAAATAAAATCTTGAAGATGTGTTCAATTTTATGGTAAAAAACATAGGAGAAGAATGTTTAAAAATATATGTTTTATGAATCTAAATGGAAAAGGTTGTTTCTGAAGAGAGGTTAGAGATTTCATATGAAAAAGTTACACAGTTTGATCAATGTAACTAGGTCCACCTAATGGCAAGAGTTTGTGTTTGAGTGAGATAAAGGTAATCAAGATAACTGAAAGTAATGTGTAAATATGTTAAAATGAATTGCACATCAAAAAAGAAAAAAAGTAAACATAATGCTTGAAAAGACGAGCAATTAACCATCATAAATATAAATAACAGAAACAAAAAAAAAAAATGAGCAATTAACATAATCCTTCGCCGTTTCTTTCGGTTTCTTCGTTGTCTCCTCCTTTTCACGATGAACTACATCTTCTCGACGACCAAACTCTTCGTGATTCTTTATAGCCTCATGAGCCAACGTCTTCAATCGGTTGAATGAAACCTGAAATTCTGACTTCGTATTTTC